CTCTCCACTTTAGTAGGATCTGTTCTGTACTGCATTTATGCTATAGGAGAACATACAGTCGTGCAGATGCATATTTTTTCCAAGCATGAGTAGATTCAAATCAGGAGAGCAGACATAGAAGACAGGTATTTCAGTGTTCTATATACTTATTATCCATCTGTGTGTCATTAAATGCAAGGAACTCAGTGACAATACCAAATACATATTTTCTCCAGAAGCAGCTGCGTGTTGTGGTAGCAGTGTTCAGTCTTCTTTACTGCACATTTTCTCTGAGTCTTTACAGTGCAGTGTGCCTGGGTATCACATTATGCAGGCATTTTGCAAACCAGTATCTTATGCATTATTCAGGAGATAACAGCCGTGATAAACAAACCAAAAAAAAGGCGCTGCTGAACCAGAAAATGCAACCTTACTGGTTTGTCTGAGTCAGTTGCAAAGATATAAATGTGACAATTGAACAATCCCATACTTTCTGTTCATGACTGCGCCACAGTACAGCAAAGGGTGCACAGGGCTGGGTTAGACCTGCAGCACACTGCTGTCAGATTTGTGTCCAGCTGTTGCCACCACTGATGCCCTGATCCCAGGGAGGAGAACAATGTGAGAAACACATGGGAAATCATTTCTTCACAAAGGTCTGAGCCTTATGGCTAAGATTAACTTAGCTCTCTTCTACAAGGCTTCACACCCCTTCCAAATTTCTTGGCAACATTAGCAGTATCCTATCCCTCTCTAATCCATGACTTAAAAGTCTGAAATACTAAGGAACTTGATGATAGTAGCAATAGTTATTTAGTAAAGAGATTTAGAGCTGGGATAGAACTAAGGTAACAGAATCATTGAAGTGTTCAGACCCTCCCTTCTAAAAACTAATTCCGATCTCTGCTCGCACATGTTGATTTTTTCATTACTTACAGTGAAGAAAGTAGGCAGTTATCCCATAAAGACTGGAAAAACTTGGTTTCCTACTATGACTCTGAATACTCTGAGCTTTGATAAACTATTAAGTATGAGCAGCAGTGGTTCTTGGAGGGCTAATTTTATTTATTTGGTATTAAGAATGTATATATTGCTTGTATGAGCTGCCTGAAAAGATCATTGAATTTTTGCATTAATACTGAGAGAAGTATGGTATTCTCTCTACTTTGTCCTACTCTATAAGTTTATATTACCTTTCATAGGCTGTCTGTTCTTCATGTAGGATATATATTTCAGACAAATTTGCCTATATCACTGGTCTTCGTGCTTGTATTGAGACACCTTTCATTTCGGGTATCTCTTTGTTCACCCCATATTGATACAGTTGTGAAACTGCTCTTAAATACCCTTCTTTTAAGCTGTGGAACACTTGAAACATGCACAGATATCATACATAATTTTAATTTTTATGTGACACATTAAATAACTGAAGTTGATTTTTTACTCCATCCAAATTTTTCTAAGCTGTCATATTTGTGAAAGTTCAAACAGTATTTTATGCCACTATTTTAGTTGGAGAAAAACAAACAAACAAAAAAGCAGAAACGTGCAATTTTTTTTCCAAAATTATTCAAATTCTGAATTCATAAATAATAAAAAAGAGATTATTTGAAGATAATTTGGTTTAAACCACCAGACTTGTGTAAGCAGTCTGTCATGACCCTTTTCCAGACCAGGAACTTTAGGAGTCTTTGGGATGCTTTCTCCTGTTACATGCCAAGCGTTTTTAGTGAATCCATGCTGAACGGATGAAGTAAATATGTGTCCCCTGATTCTGGGATGGTTTGAAGCAACATGAACACACCTCTGAAGGACAAAGGTAGCCCAGCAAGGCAGTTCTATGAGAAGAAGGAGTGTAGCCGGGCAAGTGGGCTCAGCTGTGTGTGACCATCCCAACTCAAGCTGTTCTCTGCTTCCTTCATTACCTTCTAAGCTGTGCCAAGGCTACCACCTGCGTCACTGGATGACGAAGCCTGAGGATTGAGTTCAGTTAAAAATAAGCTCTTTTTTTTTTGCTTGATGCTACTGAAAGAGGTGTTTGTTGAACTACAGTCTAAAAGATTTCATCAGAATTGCTAAGAAATACAAACATTAACTTGCCTGTGCAGCCTAGAAAGCTGGTCAAAACTGTCCTGTTGCTGGAAGAAAACAAATCCTCTAAGTGCAGTTCTCACTGCGAAGTGAGATTTGGATTTCTGGGGCTGCTCAGTGTGTGCTCTCCCTGCAGCCATCAAGGGGACCAAACACTGTCCAACCATTCCTGAGGAAAAGGTCACCATCGCTTTGGTGGAGGTTTGATAACCACTCAGAAACCCTGATTCTGGGAGCAGAGACAGAAGAATATTCTAGGCTTGCCGGTTCATGTGAAGTTAAAAAAAAGTGGAGTTGTCAGAGCATTGTGATGGGATCTACTATTTTCCCTGGGCTCAGGAGGCCAACAGAATTCTGGCAGGGGTTGTCCTAACAGACTGCAGGAGAGAAGTAACACTACTGAGCCCATTCAATTTTATTTCTACTAAAGCTCTACAGTGAAGTCTGTGGACAATATTTACTGAACCCATACTGTGGGGCTGATATCAGTAACCAGATGGTTAACTTGCTTTAACCAACACTGAGGCAGGGCTGAGTATTACCAGCCTGTTAGGTTGCAAATTCCAGACTGCGCAGGAGAAGAAAGTCAGCTCTTCCCTTTCTGTGTACTGTGACTAACCCCAAATAGCAATGCAAAATAGTTTCTATTTAAAAAGCAACAATCTGCTCTTCTCTTTTCTTTAACATTACCTCTGGTTTGCAGTCAGGAGTTTCTTAACTTCAGAATAGCAAACATCTTTCAGAATAAAATAAGAAAGCTTGCTGCACAATTGAGATCATCTAGTATTGGTGACCATGAGGTCACCTTTATAAAGATAAAGGAGTGACAGTGGAAAACTCAGGTGCTGATACCTCATTCACTTCTGATGTCTAAACCTTGCAAAAGATGACATTTGGGCTGCAGACTAGCAGAGGACACAAAATGAACCATTTACACCATTTGCAGGGTTGAGATCTTCCATCAGCCTCCAAAAACATACTGATGTAAGAAAAATTGTTCTGTAGACATCAGAAGACATAAAACTGTGCCTAATAGCAAAGCTACTGTTCAGTGAACAGCTGTTTCACAAGACAACTTAGTTAGAGGCCAGGTAGCCAAAGAGACACATGGTGGGAAGTAATTTAGTAAGGTGACTCCATAGAACAAAAATCTCAAAACTCATATGTGCTTAAAATGTCCAAGATTCAATTAATGGAATTAGTAGGGGATGCCCAGAGCATTTTGCCTGTTCATAGTTGTGCTCAAGTTTGTTCACAGAGCTCCACTGCAAGGTGACTAAACAAACTATGCCATGGCTTAGAGCTCATACTCAGGCTTAGCTTCTGGCCTCTCCATCTCTCTTCCTGAAAACTGATTTTCTGTGTTGTGTCAGTCTCTACTGCTTCATGACACTCTTCTCTCTCATTGTGCACTGTGGAGTGATAGGAAGAAGACATAGGACCTAAAGTCCAAGTAGAGATGGACTTTCTGGAGATGCAGAAGACATGGCTTACTGGTGTCACTGAGAAGTGACCTGTAGATGTATAAGAACAGCATTAATTTTTATATCTAGAAGCAGAATACAGCTTCAAAATACAAGATTTTTTTTAACTTCCTAAATAAACTATAATATTTTCAAATCAGTATTTTTTTGTATCAAAAAAGTAGACAACTTAGCATTATTCTCAGTAACCACCACAAGTTAAGCTGTCCTAGGAAAACTCTAACACCATCTTCTGACTGCTTAGGGAAGTACAATGGCTAGTTTTGATTTAGGCTTCATAAATCTTACACAACTTTACATATTTTCAAAACCACGACTTTGGATATTTGGGTGAAGCTTCATCGATTTCAGTCATTGCCTTTGAAAGCAATGTTGCTTCTATTGATAAAGCAGCTTTTCTGACAGATCTCTGGGAAATAATTCAGGCTTTACTTTGCTTCACTTTCAGTATCCCTAATACTGTGCTTGGATTCCCACCTGATTCATGGCAGAATGCACATGATGACGATGCAATGCACACTTCAAGTAGCAATTAATTGTCCTTGGTTTTCCTCACATGTATTTTTCCCTTAGAATCTGTCACTACTTGCTTCTTCTTCAATTTTGATATCTGCATTGCCAGTTAGTAAGTATATATGTCAGTTTTTCTTATTTGTTAATTTTATTCTGACAAGGCTCTTCATAAATAAGCTTTGTTGGAAATAAAATAAAGAGCTATAGTCATACATCTCATTTGCAATTTGCATTTGGATTTCAGACCTGGTGTTGTAACCAGACACAGTGCTCTACACTCTCCATAAATGACAACTGATTTTTGTTAATGCAATAAAATGAGAAAATTCTTTTAGGCTGGTCTGTATCATACTGTACAATGCCTGTCTTCTCCACTCAGCTAGAGCAGAATGTAAATTAATCATTTATTTGTTTACTGATATTCAGAAGAGTATGAAATGTATTTTCCCTGAGTTTTTTTCCTCCAATTCTGGCTAAAAGAAATGGAGACCAGAAATAGAGTAATCTTCCCATCCATATTGGTTGCATCTGTTATGGTCACATCTAACCCCTACATTTACTGCAAGTGGAAAAGCTTTAAGGGGAGCTCTCTCTGATGCTTGCCTCTGGGTCCTGAGACAAACAGTCATGCAGACTGCTGTGTGTTGGAAGTCCCAATGTTTGAAGCAGATGGGGAGCTGCAACCAATGTGCTACACTCATTAATCCATTTTCCATTTTTCCTGAGCCAATGTACCATGGTGAAATATAGGAGAAAGGGCAAGTAATCCAAAATGTAACTACAAAGCTACAAAAAGAGGTAGGATGCTCTCACCACAGTACCATGAAGCTCCTTTTCTGGCTTGTACTGTCACAAAAAGGGGTGAAATAAGAGGAAGCCACAGTTACCAATCACTGCTCAGAACTAACTGACAATTTTCCATATCCTCACTAGGTATTTTGGAGGATGGCAAATCAACTCAGACAGGAGGAACCACAACACCAGCCACCACAGGGATTCTGAGCACTGAGAAGAGGACCATCAGTGGGACCCAGTGCGTGAACGCCACAGGAGCTGGGCCACCACGGCAGAGCAGCTTCCGAGCAGCAGAGGTGAGGGTGCAGCTGTGTGCCTGGTGCTGGGCTCTGGCCTCAGCTGAGTCAGCGTTGCTTTTGTGATAATCCTCCTGGCTGCAGTTAAAATGGGATACGGTACAATGACTGCACTACACCAGAGCATGATTAGTCCCAGCATCTCTGGTGATGTCTCATGCCTGAGTGGCCACATAATTGATTATTTATTTAGCAGTTGTTATGGAAAAAAAAGAGAACTCAGTTCTTTTGCGTCGTGTCTTGTGCAAACTATTTGGACTAATAATCTGAAAGGGAACGTGCTTTTCCTTCATTACTGCTTTGCTGAAATTGTGTGCGCTGCATGGTTCATTCATGGCTGGATGCAAAGTCTGAAGAAGGCGATGGGAGTCCTTTCAGCTAGGTTTTGGATCAGACCCTGCCTCTTTCTCCCCTCACTTATTGTAAGCTTTGTAGAAGGATCATCCGGTGTAATGACCATGCAAGAAAAAGCAGGGCTTTGAGGTCCAAGCAAATGGAAAACACAATCTATCTTAAACTCTATCTTGGATTTTTTAACAAACACCGGATTGGTTCCTTTGTGCTTATTTTAAACCTTCACTGTATTACCTGCTGCATTTCTGTAGAACAGAAGCATTTCCCAGTGACACAAATTCTGCTGCTTGCCACAGCTCCATAAACAGAGGTATATGTCATACATCAGCACGACACCTAGAACCACAGGTTTGCTGTGATGAAAAAAACATAAGTGTCTGTCATAAACATTAGCCTACAGATAAAAATCAATTGATCGGTCTGAAAATGGCTGAACACAACTGACATCTTTATTAATCCATTTTGAAAGAGACCTGGCCACACTTGAGAATTATAGTGTATATCTGACATATTGTTGGGGAAGATGCTTTTTCTAGTTTTGCAAGCAACTGAAAACTTATTAGGAAATATGGGCAAACTTCCACAACATATTAACAGTGTGAATGTTAACTATAATTGGACTTCTCAGCAAAGTGTAGGTTCCTGACCTGGAACTTTATGGCTTTGAATGCATCCTCCCACCTTTTTCTAGTTAAGATACATTCAGTAAGATATTTGTATTATTGAACCCTAGCATCAGATAGTGCTTGTAGCACTTTTAGTAAGGCATTAACATTATTCTACACATGTAAATATATGTATCTAAGAAAGGAAGATAATTTGTTGAAATTTCTTACAGCCAAAAAGGAAATGCAAGTTCCCACAGTGGGCAAGGCCTGATGCATATTACCTGCATCAGGCTCCAGCTCTGAATTGCCATTCTGAATCTCAATTTCTTGACTATTTAGAGAAGCATAAGATAATAGGTTTCCAATTCAGACACCCAAAGTTTAGATGCTTAGTGGATAAAAGGTGACTATTTCTACCCTTCAACTCAAAATGTGCCCATTTCATTCATCTTAGTAGTCACATTGACAGCACTTTTCCTATTATTCCTAAATGCTGTAGAAAGCAATGTGATGTGGCACATGCTGCTCTCAGGAGACTTGGGTTCTTCCACTGTTCTGTGGGGTAAATTGCTTTTCCTCTGTTCCATTTTCTTAGGCATCAAGCTCTACAGCCTCCACTTCTTTATCTATACCATTGTTCACATGACAAGTTCAATTTGTGGTGTTGAAAGACAGGGAATACGATGTGGGCTGTGTCTGGGAAAGCTTAGTATTCTCTCATGGGGGTAATGGCAGGACATGGTTCTCGGCACCCAGCTCTGAACGGAATCAACCATCCTGGGATTCTGTGATACCATACTGTAAAGACGACTTGGAAGTAAAAGATTCTGTTGATGAAAGCAGTCTTAGTAACAGTGAAGGACCATCAACCTCAAAAACAGAGGTGGAGTCCAGGTTATGTCACTGTCTGACAATAACCTACTTGATTTTTGTGGTATAAGTAGCATTTGGAGAATCACTGTGTGAGTATGAGCACTGGAAGAGCAGACAGGAAAGGAGCAGGTGTATCCAGCTTGCATACATGAGAAGTAATATGCACTAGCCTATGAGAGTCCCAGGTTTTGCTTTCAGATAAATACATACTTTCCATTTGTATCAGTGGAAGCTTACCTCTAACATTATTATTATTACCTCTAGCATTATTACCAAGCAAATTACACTCCATTTACTTGGCATTATCTACATTTGCAAATTGCGTCATGAAACACTGGAAGAGCAATTATCAAAAACACCTATCTCCATTCTGTGTTTCTATCTGTCTGAGTGTCCTTTGCTAGACCTATCTGATTTACTGCACGTTGTTTATGGAAACAAGCAGACAAACTAAGACATGAAGAAGGGTTAGTTTAAAATTAGGGCTACACTTGCATGCCCCAGACAGATGGACTTTTCTGAATATTTGGAAATAAGCTGATAAAGTTCTGGATGGCATATAGAGAAGGCATATTATATGCAAGTATATATGTCTTAAATACAAGCAGAAATAAGTGTTATTTTGAAAACGTTTTGATTTATGAAATCTAAGAGACGCTAGAGAAAATTCTGTTTTAGGCTTATTGCACTTGTTTCCAAGTGACATTCAAAGGAAGCCCTAATTTTCATTTTTGAACTGAAAACAGATTTGTTCCACTTTCAGAATATATATATATGAAAATGCTGATGATAGCCAAAAGGGTTGATCCAAAGCCTACTGATATCCACAGCCGTTAAAGCAGTTAAAAGTTTACATCTCTTTTGCGTAAGAAAGTTGCTCCATGTCACTGCACTGTGAAGAGAATGCTGAGGTCTTTCATTAATTATAGCCATCTCCATAAATTAGAAAGCAGTTGTCAATGACTCTGTCCAGTCACTGTATTACTACTGACTGTACTGTTTAAAACTTTCACAGAATAAACGGGACACACAGAAAATGTCAACGAAAGAAGTCACCATTAATGTCTCAAAAACCATCAGACCCAGTGACAGAAGGATGACAAAGAATTGTGTCAATTAACAAAGGAACACAAGAGTGAGGATGGACCTAAGAATCTTCTGCTGCACTTTACATATGGTCAGTCACTGATGATCTGAAGATCTCCAGATATACTGTGTTGGATACAGCAGGCAGCTGCTGCTGAGTGCCTTCAGAATCATGTTTTGTAGAAAACAGCTGCAGACACTGCAGGGTGTTCAGATGGCATCTGTCTGCAGTGGTGGCACCGTGCAGACAAACATTGACATTTGTGTCATTTGTTCTTTACTAAGTGCTATGTGGGCTACTCATGTGTTCTGTTCTGCATTGCTAGAAAGATGAGACTGGAGGATAATGGGAATTGCTTATTCTGGTTTGAAACACCAAATGAAGAAAACGAACTAGCATTTTTAGACATGATGTGTTGAGTGTGCACTTTCAAACCTACAGAATCTACAGTCAATTTGAATGTTTAAAGAGCTCACTTTCACCAAGCTCAGACCCAGATATCTTGGAGACAGCAAGATAGGTGGATTCCATGAAATATATTTTAAACTATATATATCATTTAAATATAGTGAGTCACATTATGCCCTTTTTATATATTAATATTACTTAATTTTTAATTTATTTTATGTATGGACAGATTTTAGGTCCTAAAAATGGTGAGTTTCATATTGACCTCTCCTGAAGTCCCTATTTGTATCTGGCAGATAAAGTTCTGTCTGTTTTGAATTTTTAGACTCATCCCTTTACTTATGTGGAGACACAAACAGACTTCACAAGACACTGGAAAATAGTGATCACCAACTTTACTTGAAAATAACCTTAACTTCTAAAATAATGTTCCATCAATAACAGCTCAGAAATATTAGACCTATTTGATCAGTAGTAATAGATCTGGTGTGAAGAATGTATTTAATTGCATAGTATGCATCCTGAATCACACGACTCCATTTTATCATAAATATACAGCTAAAAGGAATATAAATTTTCAGTGTTGCGAAGACCAGGAATTAATTCAACCTATTTCTCAATATAGAAATAATACTATATATTCTCTGTAAGTTTGTTCTTTTATGAAGATAGAATAGTTAAATTTATTTGACTCCTCCATCAAACATATATGGCTATCCTTAGAGGGCCATTTGAAGCAGGTAGTTACAAATTGTTCATAACAAATAGATGACAGTGGAAAGAAAATCCATGTACAAACTGCAGTGAGTCCTATTTGCACTTGGAAAAATTATTAGAAATAGAATTGTGGACGGAATCCTAATTTATTCCACATTTGGACCACTTGCTGCTATGTTTATGATTACTTAATAATTTCTTGGAAAACAAGTCTATGCAATAGGTAATTGTTTATTGATCATCCTGACACAAAGGCAAGGCAAAATCCAGAGCCAGTAGGAGATCTTTGCATATAATAGAAGACATGTTTATAAGAAGTATTTATTTTTAGTTGTCCTAAAAATGAAAAAAAACACCAGTGCTGAACCTTCCACAGTTCACTGTACTGTCTGGAAAGTGATCTTTTGCTAGGTTTTTATGTAAGAGAATGAAAAAGTACTGAAAACAATGTTATACAAGTAAACCAAGTGCTGTCTGCATGTATCTCCAGCCTGTGGCTCTCTGCCAACATGCTTGCAACATTACAGGACAGGAAGGGACCTGACTCACTCTAACAATAAGCAATGGCTGAAGCAGCTCAGTGACATTCATGTAGAAATGGATAGCCGTTGTTTGAGGCCATGTGCTGATCTGATTGAAAGCACACACTCAGGAAGCTGCATGATTTGTACAGAGCAGACTGTGAACCAACCCAGATCTGTGCCAAACTTGTAAACCACTCCTGATCCAAAGAATTTATGGGCAAAGGGAGTACAGCATAAACCCATGTGATACAGGAAAGCTATGAAAAGGAATGAATGGTGTGTAACGGGTAGAGTGGATTTTTAAAGAAGGCAAAAGGAAGTTGCATTACATAGAACACTGTTCCACAGAGAGGTACCTAACAGTGTTAGGGCAAGCAGCTGCAATGACAAAGGAGCCCTGGCAGTGAGTTATTTTCTGGCTGAGAAATCATTCCAGTTGATGTGCTGCCCAAAGGCATATGTCGTGTTGGGTCAGACTACAGAGGAAAGGCAGCTATGCTGCATAGCACACAGGTATGAGGGAGAGCCCTGCCTGCATCTGAACAGTCAGCAGGGAGCCTGCTTTCTGAGTCTCATTCAGAGTGTGAGATGTGAAGGTGGTTATCAGGAGGTGTTTATTGGACTGTTGCCTCATTATCCACTGTTACATTGCTTATGTTGACTGTGTTCTCCATCTGTGTGTCAGCTGTAGAGCTGGGAAGGCCAATTGCTCTTCATTGCCCTTCTACCTGCTCATGATAAGTTTCTTCAGCTACTTCATTGTTCCATAAACATGTTTATATCCTGAAATCTAATTTCAAGATATTCAAAGACTGGATCCAACCTTCATGATACGAACCATGTCTAGTTACAAACAACCTCATAAACTCTTTTCTTGTAACACATTACTCTTCTGATTCATTCTGAATAGAAAGTACCTTATTATCTACTTTATCATCCTCTACTGGATGTGGCAGGGAATGTGACCACTGAGGATGATGACAAGGCTGAATTTCTCAATGCCTTCTTTACATTTGTCTTTAAAAATCAGACCAGTTATCTCTGGATACTCTTCCCTCTGACCTGGAAGTCTCAGATAGGAAGCAGAATAAATCCCCCATGATTAAGGAGAAACAGTCGGAGACCTACTACTGTACCTGGACTGCCACAAGTCCATTGGGCCAGATGGGATCCACCCCAGGGTGCAGAGGGAGCTAGCAGAGGTGATTGTCAGGCCACTTTCCACCATCTATCAGTGTTCCTGGTCAATCAGAGAGATGCCAGAGGATTGGAGGCTTGCTAATATGACTCCCATCTACAAGAAGTGTTGTTAAGAGGATCTGGGGAACTACAGGTCTGTCAACCTTTCAGCCTGACCTTGGTGCCAGGAAAGGCCACAGAGTAGATCATCTTGAGGGAGATCACATGGCACATGTGAGACAACTGGGAGATCAGGCTCAGCCGGCATGCATTCCTGAAAGACAGGTCCTGCTTGACCAACCTGATCTCCTTCTACAATCGAGTGACCAGCCTGGTGGATGAGGTAGACTCTTGTTTTAGTCTACCTAGACTTCAGCAAAGCCTTTGACGCTGTCTCCCACAGTATTCTCCTGCAGAAGCTGGCAGCCTATGGCTTGGACAGGTACACTCCTTTGTATGGGAACTGCTGAATCACAGTCTGAACCTCTGATTGATCACCTGAGGCGAGCAATGAGTCAGCCACAGGAGCACAGGTGAAGGCAATTCACCTGTGTTGTCGGGAGGGGTGGAGCCTGGCTGCACCTCTCCTAGACCCATTTAAGAGCTGACTACTAGTGGGGAAGGACCTCTTCTGGAGATCCCCTCCTATGGAGTTTCATAGTGAGCCCAAGATTTGGGTAAGCATTCTATCTATTCTGTTTTGGTATAATAACTGCATAGCTAAATTCTCTGGTATATTTCATAATTATAGCATCTGTACATTTGTTGGTTGTATACTCCTTGCTAGGTAAAGAACTGGCTGGAGGGCCAGTGGTGGTGAATGGAGTTAAATCCAGCTGGTGAGCAGCCATTAGTGCTGTTCCCCAGCAGTCTGCACTGGGACCTGTTGTGTTTAATATCTTTATTGATGACCTGGTGTCATGGTTTTATGGTGTTTTTTTTTTTTTTTTTGATTTTCAGTATTCCCCATCAAAACATCATGTACTGGAATTAAAGTGTTAATGCTCTAATTCTATGTACCTATCCCTATACATTATGGAAGTCATGGGATCTGACCCTTCTGGGTCAGATGTGGAATACTGAAAATCAAAAAAAAAAAAAAAACATAAAACCATGACACCTGGTTGAGAGCATTGAGTGCACTCTCAGTAAGTCTGCAGATGACATCAAGTAGGCAGGAAGTGTTGATTTGCCTGATGGTAGGAAAGCCCTACAGAGGGATCTGGGGTGGCTTAGATGAGGCCAATAGGATGAAGTTCAACAAGATCAAGTGCTGGCTCCTATACTTTGGCCACAACAACCTCAGGTAATTCTATAGGCTTGGAGCAGAGTGGCTGGAAGACTGTAAAGAAATAGACCTGGGGAAATGTTAGTCAGCATGAGCCAGCAGTGTGCCCAGGTGGCAAGAAGGCCAATAGCATTGTGGCTTGTATAAGAAATAGTGTTGCCAGAAGGAGCAAGGAAGTGATCATCCCTCTGTACTCAGCACTGATGAGGCCACACCTCAAGTACTGTGTTCAGTTTTGGGCCCCTCCCTACAAGAATGACATCAAAGTCCTGGAACTTTGATGTGCCCTTAGATGGGCAACAAAGCTGGTGAGGGGTCTGGAGCACAAGTCTTATGGGGAGCAGCTGAGAGAACTGGCATTATTTCTTCTGGAGAAGAGGAGGCTAAGGGGAGATCTTAAAGTTCTCTACAACTGCCTGAAGGAGGTTGTGGTGAGCTGGGGGTCAGCCTCTTCTCCTGTATGACCAGTGATAAAACTAGAGGGAATGGCCTCAACTTGAGGCAGGGGAGATTCAGTTTAGACATTAGGAATAACTTCTCCAAAAGGGTGGTCAGGTGCTGGAATGGGCTGCCCAGGGAGGTGGTGGAGTCACTGACCCTGGAGGTGTTAAAGAAATGTTTAGATGCTGTACTGAGCAGTTTAGTGGGACATACTGGTGATAGGTGGAAGGTTGGACTGCATGATCTTGGAGTTCTTTTCCACACTCAGTGATTTTATGATTCTATTACTGTGTCTAAGATAGCTTGTTAGCTCTTGATATTTAAATTCCCAATGACCTTAATAGAAGTAAGACTGCACTGAGGAGACTGGAATCCTGCCTCTCTATGTAGATAGTTATACTTATGTTTTTCTTACTTTGCTTCTTCCAAAAACCACCACCAGTAGTCATGACCAATTTGCTTATGAAATAATAGACCACTCTGTGTAATTAAGAGTGATAGAATCTAGCCTATAGAACTTAAGACAATTTAAAGTCCTAAAAAAAAGACTGTGCTGGTTTTAGTGGAAGAAACAAGCTCAAAGAGTCACCTGGGCATCTTCACTTCCAGTGACCTTCCTAGGACTGAAGAATCTTATTTGCAGGGTCTGTTCTTCATGTTGTATCTTTAAAATATAAGAGGCTTAAATACAGGAGGTAAAACCTCCATGTTAGGAGGTATACACTCTTAGATAAGAACCTGCTGACATCTCTTTTTTTCCTGTATGTCAGAATTCTTGAAATGTAATTTTTCCACAAGAGACATTATGCCA